CTTATCTGATTGTATTTCATTATATCAAAGATTTTACAGATACTAAAACCAAAAGAAATCCCAATATTGCTCTTTTTTATCTATGACATAACAGAGATTATAAAAAAATCATTCATCAATTTTTGTCAAGTTGAACTAAAAAGTATCTTTTAGAAAGATTTCCACCCTAGATTTAAAGACTTTAAATGATGGGGAATTGATATAATCCTTTTGTAATTCATTGTAGTTTATGGCACTCCTCTACTAATATAAATGTGTTTTATTTCAACATTACGAGTTACTGATTTCATTTTCTAGCTACTGGCACCCTCTCTGAATAATTCCTACTATATTTATTTGTCAGAAATACATTTATAAACCCAACAAGTCCTATTTTCATCTTTGGTTGAAGTTTACGCAGAATTTTTCCTTGACATCACATTTCAGAGACTTAGTATATGCATCTTTAAATAAATAGTTTTCTTATATTCATAATTTAATATCTTGATATAGAGTCCCATTTATTCACTGAGATAAAATGTGTATCTGTAATGACCTAAGAGACCACAATGGATTTTGCAGAAACTTAACACAGGCTGAAGTGTTCTGGCAAAAAAAACCCAGCTCACCACCACTCATCATTGCAAATTACATTTAGGTAAACATCAACATCTGCTTCCTATGCAAACAGAGTCTGTCATCACAGGAGCCATTATATTATTATGAGTAGATGAGATGGTTTAATATTCATTACAGATATACTAGGTGCATGAAGCTACTTCATACATGTGCTAATGAGCAGTAAATGTAGGAAATGCATTGTACCAGTCTACACAGGTAACTACAGCTTTGAAACTTTAACTCATTTAATGTGAAGAATTCCAGTAGCATCAAAGACAGATCAGCAGTAATAGGTGTACTTAGTGAAAATATGCTGTAAAAACTCAAAATTACTAGCCCATAAGGAAAAACTAGTGGGTGTGCTCTAGAGTACCAGCAGTACCCAGGTTACTACTTTTCTCCATTTTGTAATAGTTTGTGTTGAAAAAAAAATACAATTCAGTTATAAATACTAAGACAGTGAGATGGTTAAAGCTAAAATTGTATATTGTGAAATTCCTGAGGAGTTTTGCTGGATGTTTAGACTTGGGACATGGGAAAGAACAGTGGTAGATCTGCCAAGTCTACACTTTTCCTGCATGTATAAATTCATCAAGGAAGAGGCATAACAGAGAGTAAGTAGGGCTTTTTTTTGTCACTTCTTACTCATAGTACTCACTCACAGAGCTCCATCACTGTGCAAATTAAGAAACAAAATTATAAAAATATAACAATTCCTTTAATTATTACCCTGTGGAATTCACTGAATTTTGATGTTCTCCTTTAGATTTGGCTTCGTTTCTTCCTATCTAGAAAAGTCTAGTTCTGAAGCATAGCCTTAGCTTGGATCAAGTGCTGCTTTTCCAATGGAAGAAATCTGTGACTGTCAAAATGCTTTCTGTTACCTATTCAAGTGACATTTTAAGGGTATCAATGTCACCACAGCAGAAGTCTGCATTTCATTCGCTTGCTTTATACAGAAGGACTTTTGCTGGATAAACCATATAATGGAACAATAAAGAAGATAAAATTATAAAATCTGTAGTGTTTTGGTTAATATCCTTAAATCCAGGTCTGAAGGATTAACAGGGGGGTCTGTAAAAATCATATTGCAGTATTAAAGCAATATCAAGTCAAGAACAAACCTAAACAGAAATTTTGTCCCATCATGTCATAAGTTAACATAAAGAATATATAAGAAAATATGAGTAGTTATGCCCAGTCAAATCAGAGTTTCACCTCATTCAGGAACCTGTGTGATGTGGGCTAAGAAAAACCCAGATAAATAAAATAAGCATGGGGCAACCATAAGTGATAGCTCTCAGATAAACTCCCAGTCTGTGAATTAGATTATTGCAGACTCAGAAGCACTTTTTAAACAGGTTTTAATGGAATTTTATTTTCTGAATTTCTTTTATTACTTTTTGAACTCATCAATGCCTCTGACGTAGCTAGTACCATGTGGCAGTAGGTTGGACGACTTAATTATGAGTACTGCACAAAATTAACTTATTTTATTTGCACGAAGACTGCTACCCCATAATTTAATTTCATGTCTGTTAGTTTCTGTGCTGTGAAATAAAGTGAATAGTTGTTTCCTATTATCCTTTACAGTGTCAATAATGACACTGCTACTCTGGATTTTCCAAAACTATAAGAAAATACCTGAAGAGTCTGTCCCAGGACAGGATAACTACTGGCTGACTTTCTCTGAAAAGGAAGCATGTACAAATCCTGAACAAATGCTTGTATTTAAACCAATTAACTATGCTCACTCTTTCTACCACCACCCCTTACTCCAACTATAGACCCATAGAACTGCTGATGACTATAATATACTGTAAAGGAGTTCTTGTCTTTCTACTGCAATCTACATTTTTTTTGAGCAAGCTCTTATAAACCTCATATCTTAAATCATCTCCAGTAATTGTGACTCTATAAACAGCAGCTGCATTTTTTTAATATCCGATTTCTTATTTCTTTTTCTTCTCAGAATGGCATTAAATACATTCTCCACATCATGCTAGTGCTTAGCAACCAACTTCAAGATACTAAAATAATATAGATTTCTTAGCCCCTCACTCTTACCTGCTGCTCTACACTATTGTAACAATGCCATTGATTCATTATCGATACCATCAACTGTGGCCAATTAAGCCACTTCTAGGAGTTGGTATCAACCTCTATGAAACAAAATACTCTCCATTCAGTTCTGACCTTGACTATGTTTAGCAGAAATCTATTCTCCAAGTCTGAAGGCAAGTGTAATAGTCCTATTTAATCAGAAGTATTTCTCCTTCATAGCATATTAGAAAATGGTCTCCTATATTTCAACCTAACAGAAAGAAAATACATAATGTGAGGGTTTGGGAGATTCAGAAACCTTTGCAATTTCAGTTTCTATAGTAAATATAGCATACACCATTTATAGAGATATTTTTAAAACATTAATTCTGTGAGCTATATTATAATGCTAACTTTGCAGGAACAAATTGCAGTTATATTGGGTAGCAATGAGAATATGTAATGATCTGAAATCAGAGAAAGCTTTAGCATTTATTTGTTTCCTGCCTGCTTAGTAGTTTAAAATGCTAGAAAGGCTCCAAATCACCTCAATATAATTTAATAATTTTGAAAAAAAACTTCATTTAGACCTAAAAAACAGTAGCATAATTCAAAGGTATACGTTCCTAAACTCAAATAATGTAAGCTGCCCATTTGTTCTGCAGCAACTGAGTATGCACTCTCACACATGCACAAATAAATATATACCAGCTGTTTGGACAGATACTCAGATGATACTCAGGTGTTTCAGTCAAGCGTTGGTATAGCAAATTCCAAAGCCAGAGACCCTTCTTCAAGAAGACTAAGTACTTCTTTTTGAAATAAGCCAACTTTCGCCCTGGTTGATGGTTTCCCCACTGATCTAAAGCAAGGTGATTTCTTGGAGTGAAAATTAGTTAAGCCCTCATCACTGAGAAAGCTTAAAGCTTAAAGCTCAGAAGATTAGGCCCTGGTTATACTATGGGTCTAATATCTAATACTCAGTGGGGCAAAACCTACAATGTGCATGGATTTCACTCTGAAGTTGACACAAATTCAACACAGAATATATAATGTTGTCCCAGCTTGTATAGTAACCGTAGGGGGAAAAGCTGTGAATTTTCTACATGCACAGAATTTAATAACTTTGAAATCTTGTAAAATGCAGAGTTTTTAGCAATTTTTATTTGAGGGTAAGGGGGCTGCAGCATTACTGCCTCTGTTTTTTTGTGACTGTGAAATTCTGTAAGTATAGGCAGTACTATGAAGAAGTAAAACATCCACGTGCCATGAAGAACCTTTATTCTCAAAATGGGACAAAATGGGAGCTAATTTTCTGTGCAAGCAACCATTCAGAAGCTCTATCCATATCATGAAAAATAATGTTTTGATACTCCAAAAGCAGGTTCTGGGCAGTCATCCCTGTTTAAAATTAGAAATAGCTAGTTTGTTACCACAAATTTTAAGCAGAGGATAAAGACATCTGCTGATTCTTTCCAAGCCATTTAGCAGAGCTAATTAATATTTAATAAAAAACCCAAACCATTCCAAATTTATAATGTATAACTTCTTAAGTACATGTGCAAATTTCAGAATAAATTGTTTACAAATAATATTAAACTATCAATAAATTCAAGTGTCTTATTTTCAGCTGAACATAAAAATTCCTCTTTTTTAATTGAAAATGACTTGGCAGCAGTCTGATCGCATATTTTTGTAACATACTTTGATATTCTATTTTAAAATAGATGATTAAAGAATGTAAGGAAGATAAAAAACAGAAGAACACTATGCATCAAAACAGAAATTGATACATAATTACCTCTATCCCGTGTGCTTATAGGCAAAACAATTGCACAAGTCCTCTTAAATATTTTCATTACCATATGCTTGTTTCACTTGGCTACCATGAGACTACTTGATGGCATTGATATCAGGCACATGTTTAAGTGCTTTGCTGAATCAAAGCCTAGAAAAGTGAGCAGAAAAAGACTCACAACAAATTTTAATTACAAGACATATCCAATATTTTAAAAATCATTTGGCATGTCCTTCATATCTGTGTAGCTAACAGAAGACAAACTTCAATAAAAAACCAACTCTTTTATAATTTGTTCCTAATTCTGCTAACCTCATACAGACCAAACTTTCAAAATAGAAATGGAATAGCTCTGTGAATATGAACAAGCTCAAGTTTCTCTCTGTGTTTTCCAAGAAACGAACTGATTTGTGTTTATAGTATATTGCACAAATGACTCACTCAGGCAGCATCTGTGCTAAGTACTGAGTGGGACAACATTTTATATCAAGTAAGATGACACATTTTGCTCTTTTTTGTTTGCAAATTTCATCAAATTTCTCGTCTCCACACAGGCTGAATATTTTTCTTGGACTTCGGATCAGCTTTGGCCTAGCTCTCACTGAAGTAGAAGCTAATGAGTGTCTCCCAAAGCTAATGAGTGTCTCCCAAGATAAAAGGAATAAGGCGACTAAAGGTGAGGATTCTTATCAAGTCTAGTTTGTGTTTGTGTCAGTGAAATATCTTCAGCTGTAATCATTTGCCTGACTTTCTTCTCTGAAGAAGCTGCATGTAAAAGCACAGCCAACAACAGAGACCACTGAAAGGTTTTGTAATCTGCATTCTCATGAATACACATGGAAACAATCAGTAACTTTTTCTTTCTTTAGATCTGTCAGGGTTGTGTTGCACATCAGACAGTGGGCACCGTCAAAATAAAATAAAAACCTACTCTGTAGAAGTGATATCCTTGTATGAAACCATCATGGTAAGAATAGTAAGCTCAGCTGGCTTTCACTAGTGATCAGCAATCTTGGCCAAAAGTCATTTCTTTTCCAATAATTCTTAATTAAATAATTCAAATAAGTATTTCCAACACCCCAGTTATGTAATGGCAAAGAGCGGGCTCCATTTTAAAAGTCAGTTTTTTACATGGAAAATTTTGCTGGACTAGCTACATCTCCTGCAAATATAAATTCTTAAACTGCCTTTTTTCATAAATATTTTTTCAAAGTATTTTCCAGTAGTAATATGCTCAATTAAAATATGGACTTAGGTGGAATTCAGTGCAGAATTTAACAACAAAGTCTGTTGCAAATGTTGAACACTGAAGGCACACATAAAATATTAATTTTCCCCAAGATTGCTGGCTACACCTTCCCAAGCTGAGTTTAGTTTAGAATGGATTTGGATATTTGTTGTGCCTGGCTGGTAGCTCCTTATTCCAGTATGCTTTTAATGAATGCTGAAGTCCATCTCTTGTCTGTTAAGTCAATATTAAGAAAATATTGAAAACTTTTATTTCAAAATACTGTTCTAAGTGCCATGATAGGCCATATACTACCAGATCTAAGAAGGAAATGGGGCAAAATTACTTCACAATGGCCATTGTAACCAATTTTCATATTAATTCAGTTTAGTAAGTCAAAAAAAAGAATTTGAAATTTTTCTGTATTGTCAGGTATAAATTCAGAATATGTCATGGTTTGACACTGGCACAATGCCCCCATGAAAATGCAATCTCTCAATTGAATGCTGTGAAACGCGATCGAGAACAGAGCAAAGCAGTCCCAAGCTTAATAACAGAAAAAAACTTTATTAAGCTACTACTACTATACTAGTATAAAAGGAAAAAGAAGGGGAAAAAAAACCACACAAAATTCAAAATGAAAACCTTGCAAAGCATTCCTCCTCCCACCACCCAACTCCAACAAACCACAGCGAGACACAACCTGGACCCCAATCAGGTTTCCACCCTCCAGACAATTGATACTCAGTCCATTGAGGGAGAGAAGAGCCCCTCCTGTGCCACAGACCCCCCAGGAAACACAGCTGCCACATCCTGTGTTTCCATGTCACACATGGCACCGCCTGGAGAATAAAGTTTGCTTATAGTGACCCTCCCCTTTCCATGCACAGTGCTCTCACCACCAATGCATGGATGGACAGACTGCTTTTAGGATTTTTCTTTTCAAGGATGCCCTGCCAAGAGGGGAAAAAAGCAACAGTTCAATTTTTCAGACCCCCCCATTTTCGTCTGGGGCCGAGGGTCCAAGAGCAGAGATCTTATTCTCTTCTTCTTCTCTGAAGACAGGGGGCACCACCACAAACCCCCTAACTTTCCTCTGTTCGCTCCACTTCTGTCTTTTCCCAGCTGAAGCATGGTCTCTTTGGCTCACTGGCATCCTCCTAAAATACAGTCTCTCTTGGAGGAAAAGATCGGTTCAGTCTGTGGCTACCAAGAAAAAGTCCAGCCAAAAGCCACTCCATCATCTCCTCCCACGTAGAATTTCTCCTAACATCCCAGGGTCCAAGCTGTCTCTCTTCCTCTCTTTCAAACTGAGGAGGAGAAAAATTTCACAAAGCTTTCATTTCTCAGGAAGGGTTAAAAGTCCCAACTCCCAGGGATGGCTCTCTGCCCAGGCTCTGGCTCCCACAGGCACCTGGGCACCTTGCAGCCCCCCTGCTCTTCTCCTTCCCTACGGTGAAACTGCTGATAAAACTGCTGATGTCTCTTTCTCTCTCTCAAGAGAGAGAGAGTCTGTGGGGGGAATGGAGACATCCCAGATTTCTCCACCCTTCCATCTGCAGGGGTCAGCCTGGTTCCAGTCCCTCCACCCTTGGGCCCACCTCAGTCAGGCCATGGGGCTTCCCCTCCCCACCCAGCCACGGCCGGGCAGGGGAGAGGCTGCACTGGGGCTGAGCGGAACCAAAGAGAGCGAGTTCCCCTGGGAATTCTGCTTTTAACCCCTCTGTGTTCTCAGAGGCGTGTCCACCTTCAATTGGTCAATATCCAAATGGACCTCTTCCTTGTGAGAAAAATTCTTTTCCATGTCAAACCACGACAGAATACCAAAGCAAACAAATGTTTGGAGGCACTGTAGAGAGTTCTCTGACAAATTTTCATCACACAGGCTGAAATGAGATAAATTAAGCTGTTACCATGACAAAACCCAGGAGGTTTGGAAAGTCTGTGGGAGACAACTAGAAATGCAGAAGATGTATGAACAACTAAGTCTTCTAAATACTGGTATAACACATTGAAGACTGACTATATGATAAGGGCTTTAATCATATATGCGTTCCTTTCTTGGGTCCTTCCAGTAATACAGCAGTAGTATTTCCCTGTCTAATCATAGTTCACATGTTCACATAGTTCACATAGTTCACATAAAAATCAATTTGACAAATCTGATATGCTTTTCCTTCTTTATGTTCATAAAGAATAATTTATAATATTAACCACTAACTAGTGGTTTATAATAACAGAAGCTGTAAAAGATATTCAAATACATGTCGAGTGTAGTATAAAAGCTCCTACCAGTTGTCAGTACTTGTTTTCTTTCTCCTCTTTGCTTTCTTAATATGTCTAAAATATTTACTAAGGCATTTTACACAGTTTGATCTTCTAGCATTTAAATATGAATCAACACCTGACTACATATCTTAAATTTGTAAACTACATTTAAAAATGGCACAATACCATGTGTGAACAAGTCAACAAGCTGCTACATGTTTAAGAGAGCCATTTCAGGGTAACATAGATCATAAATTGACACATCAAATACAGGACTCCAAAAAGCAACTCCTGGCTTTGTATTCCTTATATTTTAGGGAACAGGACATTGCTTTGCCTGCTTAGTGGTCAACATGGTATATGTGAGCATTGCTAGTATACAATTTATTAGTGTGTAGTACCGGCATGAAAAAGCATGCAAATTGGATTACTAATTTTCAAGTGAGAAACATCTTGAAAATATGAATTGCTTTGAATGCAAATCATAGAATCAAGGAATCATGGAATAAATTAGTTTGGAAAATACCTTTTAGAACACTAAGACCAACTGTTAAACAACTACTGTCAAGCCCACTATTAAACCATGTCTCTGAGTACCAAATCTACTTGTATTTAGAGTACCTCCAGGAACGGAGACTCCACCATTTCCCTGGATAGCTTGTTTCAATGTGTGGCAACCATTTTGGAGAAGAAATATTTCCTAACATTCAATCTATTTTCCTAATATTTAATATATTTTCCTAACACTCAATTCAATTTCATAGCATCAAAAGAAGTAAGGCCATCAGCAGTTCAAGGAAGGTGATTCTGCCTCTCTGTTCTGCTCTCATGAGACTCCACCTTGAGTACTGGATCCAGTTCTGAGGTCCCCAACATGGGTAGGACACTTTTTTGTTGGAGCAAATCCAAAGAAGGACCACCAAGTTGATGAGAGGTATGAAGCACATCTCCTTTGAGGAGAGACTGAGAGAATTGGAATTGTTCAGCCTAGAAAAGAGAAGGCTTCAGGGTGACTTAATTGTGAGATGTGGCCTCAGCAGTGCTGAGTACAGGGGGACGGTCACTGCCCTGCTCCTGCTGGCACAGCAGTGCTGATCAGGCCAGGGTGCCATCAGCCTTCTTGGCCACCTGGGCACACATTGCTTCATGTTCAGCTGCTGTCAACTAGCACCCCCAGGTCCTTTTCCACCAAGCAGGTTCTCAGCCAATCTGTCCCCAGCCTGTGGCACTGCCTGGAGTTGTTGTGACCCCGAGGAAGCACCTGGCACTTGGCCTTGGCCCATCAATCCAGCCTGTCCAGATTGCCCTGCAGAGCCTTCCTGCCCTGCAGCAGATTGACACCCCTAGTGTTGTCTCAACACTTGCTGAGGATGCATTTGATCCAAGTCATCAGTAAAGGTATTAAACAGATTAAAACTGAGCCCTGGGTAATCCCACTTGTGACCCAATTGGATGTAACTCCATTCAGTACCACCCTCTGGGCTCAGCAATCCAGCCAGTTTTTTTACCCAGCAAACAGTGCACCCGTCCAAGCCATGAGCCAGTTTCTCCAGGACTAAACTCCAGGCAGACAACATCCACTATCTTTTCCTTGTCTACTAAGTGGGTCAACTTGCCATAAAAAGAAATAAAGTTGTTTAAAGAGGACCTGCCTTTCACCAGCCAATGCTGGCTGGGCCTCATCTCCTGGTAGTCCTGCACATACCATGTGAGGTCACTTGGGATGATATGCTCCTTGACATTCCTCAGACCCAAGGTCAGGCTGACAGGCCTGTAGTCCCCTGGATCTGCTCTCCAGCCCCACTAATAGATGGGCATCACATTTACTGCCTGGGGCCTCCCTGATCAGCCAGGACTGCTGATAAATGAAGGAAAGTGTCAAGTGAACACTTCTTCCAGTTGTATCCCTAAACTTGGGTGGATCCAATGTCATCAAACTACAGTATGCAGCAAAACAACAGAAAGCATTGGGGTTTTGCATTGAGGAGAAAGGAAAGAACAGGAGTTCATTAATGTTGCTAAAGCACTTGCTCCAGCTACCTGGGAAATGGTGGGAGACATCAGGGTGCCTCCCATGAATGTGCACCAGGATAAGACCTGGTGAGGGGAATCAATGTCAAACAGCCCAGGATGTTCATGGGCACAGGGACGGGACATCAACTTGTGGATCAACAGGGCTG